ATATAGCAATGAGAAGATGGTAGAATAAAGAGAAAGTTTAAAAAATAATGGTAGAATATGAGACATTCCACAAGGAGATCCTGTGTTTGTTTTTGGTAACAAATTCATGTTTCATTTACAGTTGTCAACAAGAAACGCTTTGCCCGGTTGTGTCTGAACATGAAATTTTCTTTCAAAGAATTATCGGATTTCAGTAAGAATTTTGATATATATGAATGGATTTATTAATGAAAAAGTTATTTTTGTAATAAAAAAAATGTAGAGATATTTTAAGTTAATCAAGTTCTTTGACTTAATTTTCTGAAAATTGTATAAATTATCATTTCTATGAATTATCTATAAAATATCATTTGATTGCTAAAATGATGTACATTTCTATAGAGGTATGCCACTGATGAAATAAATATCAGTTGGAATTTTATTCGATGCCACACGTGAAAATATTCCTTAAAATATGTCTTGTAGAAAATCTGTCCTGAATCTGAAAGTAAATGGTATGAGAAAATAAAAATACTTTCAAATATCTTACAACATTTTATAGAGCAACTTTTATAGGATATTTAAAAAATTATTTTGAAATAGATAAAGTTGTGAAAAATTTTCTCTCAAAATTAGTTTGAAAAATTATTTAAAAAATAATTTATGAATAAATGTTTTTATAACTTAAAATTCTTTCATTACATATACACTTCTGAAACCCTATTATTAAATTAAATTGTAATTAAATAATTGGCTTGTTTCCGCTTCTCATCGGTTTTTTAAACAGGAGTACAGGTTTATCCCTTGTTCTCTTCCAAAGTCTACTTAAACTGTGTACTTCTAACTTGTCCGCCTAAAATCTGAAATATTTACTATTTATTTCTATTTTCCTCAATAGGATTAGATAGGTTCGCATATCGTCCACTTCACACACTTATTCGGTCCTTTGAACAGGAGTAGTGGTTTATCCTTTGTTCATTTTTAAAGATTGGGTTTCAAGTTTCTTCTAAAGTCTAACGTCATACTTCTGATGTCTCCGGCTAAATTCTGAAACTTTATTTACTATTTTTTTCCTCAGTAGGAATAGATAGGTTCGCTTATCGTCTAATTCACACTCCTCCCTTGTTTTTTGAACAGGAGTAGAGGTTTATCCCTTCTTTCCTGTTTATGATTGGTTTGCGGGTCCTTCTAAAGTATTCTCATTCTCTTTCACTCACAGCAACTTCTATTATTGATATTATTACCTATCTTTGTAGCGTATCAAAGATTTGTCAACTCTTACTAAAGCAGGACAAATCAACAGAATTTAGTCATTCTTGTATTCTGTAATTGTCAAGCATTTTCTACCAGAAAATTAGAATTAATTAACAGTGTGACCCTAAATATTTCGTTCACTTTTTCCTGTTCTGATTTCTCAATATCATCGGTACAATTTTCATTGAAAAATATTGTGAATACCCTGAGTTTGGTATTTGTTCGACGAGAAAAAAAAATTACGTTGGAGGATATTTTGTTAACTGGCGAGAACAAGAGTTGATAGGATAGGCAGTAGATGCAATTTTCCAGGCCATCTTAAGAAGAACTAGTGATAAATTCCCGTTTTGGGGTACGAGGCAGGACGAGTAAAACGATATTGTAGGATCTTTTTCACATTCCAACTGCTTCTCCTCACGTATCAGACATTTCCTTGCGGAATTTCCATATACCTGTGCTTTCTTACACCACCCGTTAATCAGACTCTCCACAATTATATGCAACAATGGATGAAAGTGAAGAAAGTGGGTGTCTTCAATTGAGAAAATTCTTTTTCGAATGATTATCTTACGTAGTGATACCAATATGACACTCAGTGAGGATCGTACTCATGTGTAAAGCAGCTTTTTAATTATTGCTCAACAACAGACACTGAAGTGAACTTTTTGTAAGAAGGGTTTTATAAAAGGTCATTAATTTAGGGCACTTTGTGCGAACTAAATTCACAAGGAATGCATTAAGGGAATAACTTTCTTACGATTAATCTATGAAAAATAATTTAATACAGACAAAATGATACCATTCTCATTGCATTTAAAATGTTTCAAAGAATAGAATATATTGTGAACAATGTTTGTTATTTCTTAAGGCAACGGTGATTTTGATATCATTAAGGTTTTAGTGGCTCAATACCAGCTTCTGTATGTATACTCTGACAGATGTTGTGAATCATATATCTTTTAATGGCTTACGGACATTTAGCATCCTGACAGAATCAGTAATGTATCTATTTTTGCATACAAAATGAGTGTAATTTAAAGAAGTTTATAAATATTGAAAGATTAAAGGCTAAACACCTCCATATATATATATATATATATATATATATATATATATATATATATATATATGCGCGCGTGTGTGTGTGCTGCATGTAAACTAGGAACCTTGTGTCGTTCTCTCCTACTCAGCAGATTCTATTTCTCACTGACAATCGTTGATATGTAGGTATTTGATATGAAGTCCTTGTAGTTTTTCCATGGCTCCACCGCATTAATCCGGTCAGTGAACTGCATGCATGACCTTCCCATTATAGATGTACTTTTATATAATGATAGTGGCACTAACAATTTTGAAGACTTCAGCGTTTGTCATGAATTTACTACAGTACACATTGGGAATGATGAAAAACGAATGCTGGTAGAATCATTTTGAGACAATGCAAACAAGTGGAAATGGTTAGTCAACATTCGGAAGCGTGAAGGAGCACAGAGAGTACGATTTTTTTGTCAACTTTTATTTTTAACTTGTATCCATTTGCTCACAGTACGGAAAATTTGTCTGCATTTAGCAGATTGCTGTATATCTCTATGACTATGTGTAAAAGGGCATGGCATATATATTTTATAATAATGTTCAGGCTGTAGAAGAGCTACTCGTGGTAGAGTGTTACAGAATAAGGGGTTAGGGGTGAGGTTTATGAGGATACGTAGGGAAGACAACGGTTAGCCATAAACCTGAACAGGTTAAGATTGTAGTAATCGGGGAAGCATTTTTTTGGGAGCTGGTTCCACAAAGCAGCGGTTCGTGCAAAGAAGGTGCTTGAGTGGAGCTTACATCTCATCAATTGTATTCGAATGGAATAAGGGTGGTTCACTACAATGTTTGTTGCATGGTGGGTCTTAGCTGTGAAGAATAATACTGGTTGAACTTAGGAATGTAGTTTGTCTGAACGTTTCCATGGAAATAGCGATATCATAGCGAGTAGCTTGCAAAGTTTCGCCCGTGGGAATAGGATGGAAAATATTTCATCACGCACAAGGCCGTGTATAATTTTTTTTTATCGAGACTGGAAAGTGTGGAGTGAGCAGCTCCTGCCCATATAAGGCAGCAGTACTCCATTTACGGACTGATCAGGCTCTTGAAAGGTAGAGAATAGCAAGAGGAATTAGCTAATTACAATAATGCCACAAGGAACCTATAGCGATGGATAGCATGTACGTGTTCCACAAAGTTTGGTTAATAGGCGCTCAAAGCACAAGGCCATCCCCGAGAGAACACTCGTTCATCATGATAGACGATAATTCTGGGTCCACTTGATGATGACGCAATGTCTTTGTCAGTTTACAAGAGTTTGATATTTAATTTTTTGAGCGACTCATATGGTAGTAAAAAGCTGGACGTTATTTAAAAAACAAACAATAAAACATATCACCATGTCTTCCTGTCCTTATCTTTTTGACACACTGTTAGGAGTCGATTAAAAAGCTATTAACATTTTTCTTTTTAGAAGTACTTAGAAGAATCTTACATGTTACATCTCACTTGCGCCACTTAGTAGATAGCTCAATGAAGAGTAGGATTTTAATCCACATTGTTCTTTCATCTCCACACAGAGTCTACTAAGTGCAGATGTGTATTTTTCAGAATAACTTGAGGAACTGGCATTTTGAAGAATTATCTTCTCCTGAAAAAAGCTGTCTCAAAACTAACCTGTTAAGATAAGCTCTCCCCAGCCTCTATCGAGCCTGCAAACATATCAAGAAACGCTTAGTAAATATTGTTTTACGAAATCAAGCAACAACATAAACAGGCAGATAAACAGATGCAAAGCACAGTGAATGCGTGCGTGTGCGTGTATGTGTAAGCAAGAGTAAAATATTTTCTGCTCTGAATTCTGGTTATCATGACTCAGTGTCGACCATTGCTTGTGCTGTGTTGCTTAAAGAAACTCTCGATGATCTGTCAGAATTCAGAGTGTCAGATAAGGTAGAATGCGTTCTATATATAATTTGAAGGAAAAGATGCCATTTTTGTTGATGTAATAAGCCGTCAAGGTGGAATAGAAAAATCAACGTAAAAGCTGATAATATTGGGGCAGAAATAATTAAATGAAAAAAATTGGTGTGGACGAGAAATCAAAAACGTAGAAATTGAAAGAGCAGAATAACTGAAGCAAAATAAAATCCTAGGCAGAAGTGAGAGTTTAAAAATTCGGTTGACTCCAACACTAGCAGTAAATTTCTCCAGAGGAATTTTCTACACTTCCTTCTTTATTCTTAGATTTTATTTTGTTTCTCTTTCGAATCTATACTAGTTTACGAAGCCTCACCCAATATTTTTTTCTTTGTCATTTCCCCTATCTTCTACCTGCAAAACAATTTCACCCTTACCATTTTCCCGACAGAAAGCAACACTGCTCAGTCACGCATGACAACCCAGAGGAATCATGTGAAAGATGAAACAGAAATGAGGCCTCGCCTGTAGTAGCAGATGTTTGTTTGTTTTTTTCGTGATCAGAATCAGCTCTCTGTGCAGTGAAGCGTTTCGGAAGCGTGCGTACATGTCGAGACGTTGATAGACGCAGCACGGATTGAGGGTTCATGCCTGGACTTTGGTTTTATATAGTGGAGATATTTGAATGATAGTGAGTACATTTTTTTTTTAATAATTAGGTGCTGGAAATCAGCGTCTTGTGTTTATATAAAATTCTATTCACGCTTAAAATGAACCGCCTGGAAGCGATTCCGTAAAATATCTACACATTTATGTTTTTTCCTGAAATGAGTTATTCGCAAACTAAATCTATCTATCTATCTATCTATCTATCTATCTATCTATCTATCTATCTATTCTATTCTGTGTGATAAAAATAGTCGTCTGAGTGAAATAAAAAGTCCACAGAATTAGACGAGTAGAGATAACATTAATAGAGTTAATTATACTTCAATTAAGTTAAAGTATCTAAGAAAAGGGTGGATGAAAATATTAGGGCCTGACTTAGAAATCCTTTCTAGTAAAATGCGATATAGGAAAAGGATAAAAAGGTAGATTGAGTTCGTTCGCGTTCGTTGGCAGACAGTTTGAAATGGATAATACCCATCTTCAAGCAGAAAGTGGTATGTTATTATTAGCAACCATCATCTGTCAGTAAAATGCTCAGCAGTAAAATATAGAACACCATTACTTAATAGATAAAGAAAAGTTTAAAAAGCAACTTCGCTATCTGATTTCAAGTTTGAATTCCAAATGCAAATCTAAATCCGGGGCCTTGTCACTCCTGTTGGAGGAACCTCTCCTTGATTGACCATGTCTTCACGGGTGTATACTCACGACGCCTTGACAGCTATGTTTTTGAATTTAGAATTGTCCTTCTCTTAGTCCTAATACTTACTCATAGAATACAAGCATATGGAAAATATAGTGAATCATACAATGCTCGCAGCTTTCTGTCTGTCTGTCTTTTTGTCTGTCTGTCTGTCTCTCTCGATATATATATATATATATATATATATATATATATATATATATATATATATATATATATAACATAAAAGTAAAATGAAATGTACACAGACACATCCAATGACAAGTCACGACAAACGACAAGTCACTAAACATGATACTGATACTGAGTGTAAAACAACAAACTACTATTAAATAGCCTCAGATGAAAAGATACAACCGATGCCATTGTGAAGTAAGCTGCTACCTATTAGAAGGTCGCGAATTTCATTTAAAAACGAACCCAAATTCAAAATTACATGCAAATCTCATGCAACTCAGAGAACTTAATATATATTTTATACATAGGTTGCCACGAACACTACATTGGTCAAACTGGCCGAACATTTAAATAAGGGGATAATAGTTCAATAGTTCCAATAAATTAGGGATCACTAGAAAGATTTCTCTTAGCCAACATATAGACGAATGCAGAGGACGAAACCTACCAAAATTCAATATCCTTCCATTTTACAAATGCGTGGACAAGACCGCTAAACAAAAACCCATTAACAAAGACAATTTTTCACCTCAAATTTAAATAAAGACTCAAATCATTGCACAAATCAGAGTTACGTTCCTCTAGATAGATAGTATTTTCCTCAACATAAGCAAAAGAGATAAAACAAGTTGCGTCTCTTTTTTGTTCATCCCAAACTTAAGTCAGGTTTCGTTAAATAATTTAGACATGTTCTGTCTACTTATTCTCGATAGGATCTTTTCATACTCACGAATGACCTTTTTTGCATGTTTATTGAAAGACGAGAGGAAAACGCTGTGTTAGTTCATATTGTATTTATTCACGAGTACGTTCGACATAGCATAATGTCATCATCAGGGTATTGTTAATTATAGGATAAGTATTTTAGTGTTTATGGAAGACAAAATTTATTTTATCATACTGTGGCTAACGAGCACCGATTAACGGGAGGTAACTATGTATTGTTATGGTAGATTTTTCGGCGTGTGTAGTCGAAAAATAGAGGAAAGAAATATTAGTACTGACAATGACATTTAGCGACTATTTATTGTATAAATTTTAAAATGTTTGTGGAGTATTCGTAATTAATTTTATTAAGGTTTGGTTTCAATTTTTGTATATAAATATACATACATACATATCTATCTATTTATCTACCTATCTCTCTCTCTCTCTCTCTTTCTCTCTCTCTCTCTCTCTCTCTCTCTATATATATATATATATATATATATATATATATATATATATATATATGTACGTATGTATCCGATGTGTGTGTGTGTGTGTGTGATTCAACTCAAGCGGAAATCATGATCAAATAAAACCATGGTCACCTGCCAGTACGATGATATAAATCGATGGTATGTCACGTCGAAGTTAATTTTTGAAAAATAAAAATTTATGGCAAAATCTCCTTTGTGAAATAAAACTGTCCTCAATGCATTGACTATACATAAACTCTTTTTTGGTTTTATTCAGTGATTCACATAAATATGCATAAAATATATTCTTATTAGAGATGTACCTTTTTATATTTCAAACGAATATATTTAACGCGGCGTCTGTCGGTGGACACAGGAAATCGACTGTAATAAATTTGTTTATATGATGACAAAGTGATGGAACATTGTCAGCGCTCCCAATATGCAAGTTCGTCTGAACTGACCTCCATCAAACTAACCAGGAATTCTAACTCGTCTCTTTATGAAAATCTTTCTACAGCATAACCACAAATTCATTTCTCCCAGACGGCTGAGGCAGAACAAAGACAAATTAAATGTCTTATTTATTCTTTCATGAGAACGATTGGAACCTTTGTTTTATTTATTTTCTCTTCTCCGGAAAGAAGATTTTGAGATATTTTTTTTTTGGTTTTTATACACGATGTTGTTCGGTGCCGTCACAGAGAATTAGTCAAGTCATTCTTCAGATTTGTCGTGTCTGATCCTTAATAAGAACGGATTGGGAAAACATCAGTTATTTTCATTTTTATTGTTTGTCGTAGAGTTTCCTTTGTTATTCTAATTTTGTCCCGAGTCGGTGTTATTCATTAGACGTAAAAGTTGATTCATCTTTGCTTTAGAGAAGATCTGTCTCTTTCTTTGTCGTTCTTTCTCATCAATTTACTCTTTATTAAATGTATTCATTTATATTCGTTACATTATTTCTTTGTGTCAATTGTGTGCCGCATCACAAGTTATCTATCTATCTATCTATCTATCTATCTATCTATCTATCTATCTATCTATCTATCTATCTATCTCAAATCTATCTATCTATCTATCTATCTATCTCTATCTCTATCTATCTATCTGTCAAATTCATTATCTATCTATCTATCTATCTATCTATCTATCTATCATCTATCTATCATCAAATTCTGTTCATTATCTATCTATCTATCTATCTATCTATCTATCTATTATCTATCTATCAAATTCTGTTCATTATCTATCTATCAAATTCTGTTCATCTATTATCTATCTATCAAATTCTGTTCATTATCTATATCTATCTATCTATCTATCTATCTATCTATCTATCAAATCTATCTATCTATCTATCTATCTATCTATCTATCTAATATCTATCTATTCAAATTTTTCATTATATCTATCTATCTATCTATCTATCTATCGTTAATTTTCTATCTATCTATCTATCTATCTATCTATCTTGATATCTATCTATCTTGATATCTATATCAGATACACACACGAGGGTGAGTATGTCTTTAACGGATATTTAACTGAAGCAATGTCTTATATGGGTCAGAGGGTCAGCGGTATATAAAGGTAAATACTAGGGATCTCCCAAATCATACGCTCTTCCAAGTCACGAAAAAAATGTAGCCACTGTTTTTAAAAAGTTACAAGAAATCGGGAAATTATCGGATTTCATTAAGATTTTCAGCATTTATTCATTAACAAATTAGATTTATATTAGATTTATTTATTTTTAGGTTTTGTGGAAATATTTTACGAGTCAGTTTTGTTCCCGCTTTAATTCATGCCCAATCCGCATTAGATAATTTTGAATGTTTCTAATTTTTTTACATTATTGAAAAGCTAAATCCCTGCCGAAGGATTATATCATAAAAATGAATGGATATATATATAAATATATATATATATATATATATATATATATATATATATATATATATATATATAGATAGATAGATAGATAGGTAGATAGATAATATTAGTAAATATACATACATGCATACATACATACATACATATATATTTGTATAAAAATAATTATTCCAAGAGGATAGAATCCAGGTAGAACTCAATGTCCAGGACAGAGTAAGGATATAATAAAAAGGCTTAAACACTAATATTCCATGGTCATAATTTTATTCCATTGGAATCGTAAATACCATCAATTAATTGGACCTTTGTAGGTTTGATGAATTGGATCGTATTACGATTCCAATGGAATAAATTATGACCATGGAATATTAGTGTTTATATATTATATATATATATATATATATATATATATATATATATATATATATATATATATATATATATATATATATATATATATATATATCAGGAACACATCGCAAATATGATCTTAAGAAAAGAATTCAATAAAATTCAAAAATATTCATTTTGTGGAGAATTGCTGATACTCAGTTTTAATAAAATATTCTGTATATTTTTGTTTTCACAGGAAAAATTAATGTATATTTACAATACGAGTTTTAAATTGTTTCAGATATTGGTAGCTACTGAAATATTTGAGTTGAAATAAAGAATCGAAATATGTAAAGTGTAATGCAATTATCACGTGTGAACATTTTTTAAATAATTTTAATTATTTTTCATTTTCCACGTGTTTGAATTCTTATTTCACGGAAGATCAAAAAGAAAATTCTCTATCTATAAAAGGCAGGATGTGTGTGTAACCAATGCACGGTCGCAATTTTCGACGGATTTGCACCAAAATTTACATGCACATGCCCCAAGTTAGTGGGGAAGGCCAAGACCGACTTTGCATTTCCCAACTCCCATAGATAGTGGAAATAATCGATTTTTCATGTTTCTACGGCAGTTTTCATGTAGTTTGCGGCCATTGTGTACTGGCCAGAGTGAGAGCCTATAGCTGGCTGCCACGAGTAGGCAGGAAGATTCTATTGGCCAGCGTGAGAGCCAACAGCTGACTGACATGAATGTTAACTAGCATATCTTCATGTGCCAGTCTCTGAAAATGTACTGAGTAATTTAAGTACTGTTGATGTCATCTCACCTGCACAAATTGTATTTTGTATGGGTACAGGTGGTTATCGTCGCATAGTATGCAATGCAAGGAAATCTGAGGCATCTTCAACTGGTCATAGTGTTTGTGAATGCTTCTGGTTCATGTTAACAGTCTTGCACATATTCGCAATTCAACATTAATATTGTGGCAAGTCATCTATGGATCCATATTGGCTAAAAAACTGAATCTACCAATGAATCAAGGAATGCAGTGGTGGTTTCCTCGCATAGAAATGTCGACAGTATTCTCTTTGAGTACAAAATGATGAACTTGTTAAATCCAAAATAAAATTCCACGATTTTGCTTCTTTGTTCTGTTGCCAATATTTTTCATATATAATTTCCCTATGTTAATCTAAGTTCTGAAAAAAATATAAAAAGCATAAAAAATCTGACGTTTTTTAAACATTTTAAATACTGAAATGACTTTTGAGACACCCTTTACATTAAAGACTGATCTCGATGATTAGGCATGAATAGACTCTCATATGTATAAATAAAAACAGAGTGAAATAATTATCAATAAAATACTAAAGATTTCTCGTTGTAGGTTAGAGAAATAAATTTTATTTTAAAAATATCTTTTTAATTTCGCGCCCATGCACCAAAGAGACAATCTGCTGATAAGTTTGTCTTACTTTCTATTTCTTTTTTCTTCCATGATTGTATGGTTTTAATGCTCACCTACAATAAATGTTGTAAAGACTGAGCGGGCAGGTTAATTATTCCAATATCCAGTTTCATACTCAGTTCATGAAGATATGCTAGTTAACATTCATGTCAGTCAGCTGTTGGCTCTCACGCTGGCCAATAGAATCTTCCTGCCTACTCGTGGCAGCCAGCTATAGGCTCTCACTCTGGCCAGTACACAATGGCCGCAAACTACATGAAAACTGCCGTAGAAACATGAAAAATCGATTATTTCCACTATCTATGGGAGTTGGGAAATGCAAAGTCGGTCTTGGCCTTCCCCACTAACTTGGGGCATGTGCATGTAAATTTTGGTGCAAATCCGTCGAAAATTGCGACCGTGCATTGGTTACACACACATCCTGCCTCTTATAGATAGAGAATACAATGTGTATGTGTATGCTTGCGTGTCTGCTTGTGTCTACCAAAAATGTAACAAGCCACTCACCAAAATACAAGCATACGCATATGCTTCACATATATAGTTATACGCAAATCATCTTTTCTTTTATTTAATACTAGCAGCATGGCCCGGCGTTGCCCGTGCTTGATTAAAAAATCGTACGACTCATAGAGCAATTGCTATCACTTGACTTAAAATATGTTTGCCCTTCCTTGCCTTTAAAGGAGTTCCCTTTGCCGTGCCGATGTTGCTACATGCCTTACTTCTTGCCTATCACACACTGCGAATTTTTCTAAGCTCTATACTAAACATTAAATCTGTTACGAAAAAAGAACTAAACAAAATGAACACAAAATGATCAGCTTTAAAAAAAAGGACTCGTAACTGGAAAAACCGAATGAAAAAAGAATGTTAACAACAAATACTTTTTCACACCTAACCCAGTTCTGCAGAATCAGAATCAACGTTAAATTTAAACAAGCGAATGAGCCAATTGAAGTAAAGTGCCATGCAGATTTAAATTTTTCCCACTTGTGACGAATGCAGCTATCGATTTTTTTGCATGCTATTTAACATTCGTGTCAATCAGCTGTTGGCTCTCACGCTGGCCAATAGAATCTTCCTGCTTATTCGTGGCAGCCAGCTATAGGCTCTCACTCTGGCCAGTATACAATGGCCGCAAACTACATGAAAACTGCCGTAGAAGCATGAAAAATCGATTATTTCCACTATCTATGGGAGTTGGGAAATGCAAAGTGAGCCTTGGCCTTTCCGCTAACTTGGAGCATGTAAATTTTGGTGCAAATCCGTCGAAAAATTGAGGCCGTGCATTCGTTACACACACACACACACACACACACACACACACACACACACACACACACACACACACACACACACATCCTGCCTTTTATAGATAGAGATTTGTTTTTCTATCAGTCAGCATTGCAGTGACATATCCTGTAATATGAGCATTTTCTAAATCTAATCAACATGTAAGCAAAACGTTTCCCTCAAATTCAATATCAATTCATACTTTTATCAATTCATTCTGAAGATAAAATTCCTGTAGGCCGATCTTATTTTAATTCGAACCATTTACTATTTGTGTTTTATTTAAACCACGGTATTTAAAAGGCATGGTAGATGTATAATAAATGTATATATGAATTATGCTACTGTGAAATTGAAATTGTTTTATTCAACCCTTTAAAATTCTTTAATTTATTTTCCATCTAAGCAGTTAATCCGTTCTGTGATGCTATGGAGGTCGGATTAGACAAACAGGAACTCTATAAAGATTGATCACCTAATTGAAAAAGAGTAGAGACTGATGAAGCAACAATGCATCGATGCAATTGAATTGTATCATTCCCTTCAGATCAGCATCCATCTAGCTGATGTCAAACAAAATCTGTCATTGGTGGGAATGAAAAATAAGCAAGATAAATGGCCAAGCAAAATGGTTTCGTTACTTTTCTTGTCTATATTTTCACTTTTCGCCATTTTGTTTCGAAAAGTATTAATTAAACCTCGACAAGCAACATATTTGAAATCTGTTGACAAATTCTTGAAACATGAAGTAATTGTCAAATTAATTATAAAAATCGAATCAACGTCAGATGATAATGATTTATATGAAATTACTGATAATGACATTTTATCGCTGAAAATTAGTTTCGAAACCTCGGATAACCACAGATCACGATAAGTAGGTCAAATAGCAGGCGTATTGTAAATAAAGGAAGGCAAATCCCTTAAATAGTGAATACGAGCAGCAGAACAAGCATAACAATGAGATCCTGATACGTTGGATAAATACTAAGCGCAATAATCGTTGTTGATGATGAAGATCATGTCTAACAATGATTCACTTGTAATGATACTTGATAGTTTATAAGTTATTAGACTGCAAAAAAGCAAGAAAAAACAGTGCGGCACCAGACTTTAATTCTCATACTATGTCTCCGAAGCTTGTCATTAATAAGTGTCACATTAACTACTGCGGTCAGAAAGGCTTCAGTGATTACTTCAAGCCCAACCTGTCACTTCTTACACACCAATTCTATCAAAATAATTGAGGTAAAAATGAAACCAACAATTTGTTGAAGAATGCAGTAATAGGGTCTCCAGTGAGAAAATATCTCGAATATTATTTGTATTTACGACCGTTACTCCTTTATACCTACGATAAAAGTGTCTGAATTTAAGTCAGCTATACTTTCTTATTAGATGGATTGAGTCACATATATTTCTGACCGCGAAATATATTTAATTATAATCGAGATGGAATTGATAAAAGCAACGGAGAGGAAGAAGAACAAACAAA